GCCACCACAGCGGCTACAGCTGCAGCCGCGTCCCCTCCACGGCTCATTTCCTCAGGGGTGAAGCCGTTCATGTCTCCGCTCTCTGGAGAGCCGGCGCTGACAGAAAGCCAAGCTCGTCTCACCGCTCCGCCTCTCACCCGGGGAGCTCGGGAGACGCTGGGCTCCCGGTAGGGTCCCTCAGGTACCTGCCCCAGTGGGTGTAATTCACTCTGCACTCCGTGTCCGAAGGCGACACCGCCAAATACCAAGCGTTGGTGGGCTGTTGTCCCACTGCTGGTGCCGGGCCAGTGAACAGTGGTTGGGGTCTGGACTCAGAGTCTGGCGGCGCCAGGAACTACGACCCCACTCACTGTCACATGTAGACTCTTCAGCAGTTGGACCACAGCGCCTCTGCCTCCCTGCAGCCCCTTCAGCTGCGCAGGCGCGAAGCGCCCCCTTCGTCCTCGCCCCCTACTCTCTGCCGCGGAGCACCATGGGGATTGCAGTTCTCTGTGACAGAGTCAACCTGAGCTCCGCTCTAACACGACCACTTGAGAGTTGAAGGAACTACTTATCCTAGCATGCATCGCGTGGCGATGGGCGGGCCTCGAAAGCTCTCGGGGGTTTTTTGTTTTTTTTAAAACACTGGATAAACACTGTTGTGAGTTGGGGGCGGGGGTTGTGGTTTTTTTGTTCCACTTTCGTCTCTCCGGGGTAGTTAGGCTGTGGTTGTTGTTGTTATTGTTAGCGGTCCTAATAGGGTTTCCAAGGAGCGGCTTTTGAGTTTGAACCGCCCAACCTTGTGGTTCAAACTGACATTGCGGACCAGTGCTTTATTCTTCAGGGCCACACCAGGACTCCAAGTTATGGCTGTTGTTGTCGTTAAGTGCCATCGAGTCAGTTCCGACCCATAGCGACCCTGTTATAAGGTTTCGGAGGAGCGGCTGGTGAGTTTGAACCGCCGCCGACCTTGTGGTTCAAGGCGATTTTGTATAGTCCAGCGCATTAACCCACAGCGCCCCACCAGAACTCCAGGGGTCAGTGGTGGGGTACCTCCCCAGTCAAACCAAGAAGTCACCCAATTTTTGAGGCAAAGCACGAAAAGAGGCAGGAGGAGTTACCCTGGAAGTGGAGAGTTTTGGGAATCTTCGTAGCTATTTTGGTCTGACTGCGCTTTTGGGGGAAACCTAAATCAAGAAGGGCTTAGGTAAGAACGTCTTTGTGCTCATCGGGGGAATAACAGCCCCATTCATTCATTTACCAAATTAACAGGGCTCTTGTTTGGGGAAGCATGCCCATTCCTACCACTCTATCTGGACTTCCTCACAGATGCCTCGCTGATGGCCTGGTCTAAACACATATTAACTTCAAGGAACATATTTCGTTCCTGGACATAAGAAATCAGTGGCGCAGCTGACTACCTGACCATAACAGGACTTTTGTTTTCACTGCCACCTTCAATCTTTTCAATTTGTCCTCAAAAGGGTCTGAAGAAGGGAGGAGTCTGAGAAAATGTGAAACCACCCCTAATACCAAGGCAGCTTGTTTGCTCCTCAGACACTTTCCAGCGTTAGCTCTAAGAAACTGGAAGGGAAAAGGAAACCACATTTCTTAGGTCTTTGGCGCGCACGCCCGTGCATGTGTGTGTATTTGTACCCGCATGCTTGTTTGCACGCCTGCTTGCAAAGGGCAGGGTAAAAGGATGGGAGGGGCTAATGTGAAAGCCTTAGCTTTATAGTAACAGCTACAGCTCGTCATTTTCAGAGATACGTCCTGTTTAACAATCCCCAAGTTTATACAAAAATACTTCATCTATTTTAGACAGTGTTTTTGTTGTTAAGCACTGTGGACTCGGTTCTGACTCATAGCGGCCCTGTACAGGGTTTTTGAGGAATGGCTGGTGAGCTTGAACCGCCGACCTTGTGGTTCAAACCAATCTTACAGTCCACATCACCACATATTTTTCAGTTTTCTTAGTACATTTAGTAAAAGATGATTTTTTAAAAAGAAAAGTAAAATGTCATCTACACTGCTATTCAAAGTTATCCTTCCATCTGCATTACAGTTCTAGGATATGGGAAAGAGAAAAAAATTAAAATAGAAAATAAATTGCTGAAAAAGGAAGATGCTGAATAAGTACTTTGTTGTTTTTTAAACTGCTCTGTCCAATAGTGAATGGTTTCATTTGTCTCTTCTAGCCATGTCTTGGAGTACTAATGTGGCGCTGGAGTAAAAGATTGAATAAAACTTCTGGCATACCCATTCTTTGCAAAGTTATCCATAGTTTATTACTATCCACACAATTAAATGTCTTTGCATAGTCAATAAAGCATACGTAAACATTTTTCTGGTATTGTCTACTTTTAGCCCAAATCCACCTGGCATCAACAATGATATCCCTTCTACATGCTCTTCTGAATTCAGCTTGGATTTCTAGCAGTTCCCTGCTAAACAATAGAATAGTTGTTTTTGTGTGCTGTGGAATCGGTTCCAACTCATAGCAACCCTATACAGGGTTTCCGTGGCTGTAAATCTTTACGGGAACAAAACACCTCATCTTTCTCCCTTGGAACAGCTGGTAGTTTCAAACTACTGACCTTGCGGTTCGCAGCCCAATTCATAACCACTATGCTACCAGAGCTCCTCCTAACAAAAAATATTTGCTTTTACCAGCTTAGAGCTATTTAAAGCCACGTTGCCATGGACTTTTTGTACAGGTAATCTAGTAAATGTGCATTAACTACAAGCACGTATATGAAGTCACCTGTACAAAAATATCCATGGCAACATAACAGTTCATATCCAGCATTTCTCTGTCAGTTTGCTGTACTGTGGTGGCTTCCATGTTGCTGTGATGCTGGAAACTGTGTTGTTGTTGTTGTCAGTTGCCATCAAGTCGCAACCGACTCATAGCGACCCCATGCACAGCAGAACCAAACAATGTCTGATCCTGGGCCAACCTCACTACCAGTGCCGCACTTGAGTCCATCAACGAATCCAGCTTGAACCTCTGGAAGTTCCCTGTCAATGTATGATTGTAGCCATTTCTGTATTACCTTTAGCAAAACTTTACTCGCTTGAGATATTAAAGAGATTGCCCGATGATTTCCGCATTCTGTTGGGTCACCTCTCTTTGGAATGGGCATAAATATTGATCTCTTCCAATCAGTCGGCCAGATAGTTGTCTTCCAAATTTCTTGGCAGAGATCAGTGAGTGCCTTTTGTGCCGCCTCACTTTCTT